GTTCATGATACGAGGAAAGATAACGTAAATATTACACATTAAAGTAAATATTAAATATTGTGAATATAAAGAGATTTCAAGAGATTCGTGACTTAGATTAGAATATAAAGATATGCATTTCATATGGAAATACGTTTGTCTTCTACTCATATTTGGTTTACGCAAGGACACAAAATGAGACACTTGCTTGATTGGCGTGGGCTTCCCTCTCTGTTTTCATTTTAAAACATTACTCTTTTGTGATTGTTTACCTATTTATATTTTGATGGGATGATCATTCGGATCCTGTGGATATTGTTAAGAAAATATATGGACTTTTCACCTATCTTACCTTATGAGACTATTTTTCTATTATTAATTGAATGATTTTTATTTTTTTTTCTTTTACAACTACAAAATTACATATTTCAACAATTTTCATTGTTGTTTATGTCATTACCATCATTATACAGATTCGGGATCCACCTTCGAGTTGTAGACGAAACTGTGATACCTCGACTTTGATTTAAGGTCTAACAACAAGTACTGAATGAGATAGACCAATAAATTGAATCGGGATTCGTTCCATCACCTGAGCGAAGGAATTAAAGAGGAGAAGTAGCCACGCCAAGCTACACGATGCTAATGAGCTTGGCGAGAATATCTTTTACGATCATGAGGAAATATAAGAAGTGAGGTAATATATACGGGACAATCAACGAACATCATCGAAGTTCATATAGCGAGAATAAATTCTTGAGACAAGAGAGAACAAGAATGAGGAGTATGGAAGAATGAGTCCGAGCAAATTTCAGGGACGAAATTTTTATAAGGGTGGAGGAAATGTTACACCCTACTCTTTCCAAAAGTCAAAATGACTATTGTGCCCATGATTTAATTTGTCAAGTTCCACCGTAATGTTGTTAAAGGATTAAAATGTGAACTCTCAGTTCAAACGGCATCAAGTTCTGTAATAAAATGAGAAAGTTACGAACGTCAATTAAGTTTTGGATCAAAATCCAACTCGGAAAGGCCGGACCGCGTGGGCCTTGAGGCTTGGGCCGGGCAGTTCTGTTTGAATTTTGCCATGGGGTTATTATTGGGTGGGACATGATAATCTTTGCCATTTGGCTCTATTGGGCCAGTCCTGGGACCGGAAGGAAGGAGCGAAAAGGAAGAAAAGGAAGTGTTCCCAATCGAGTGACAGATCGGAAACAAAGTAGCAAAGCGGCGCCCAGATTAAGAGGGGAATTTGCTGGGAAGTCGGATGCTAGTCCTAGTTCATAACCGAAATGAGTTATTTGGGGGGTTTGAATTGGATTAATTGTTAAGGTTTGATGGGGGTCCTTCGCTTTAGTTCTTTTCCGTTACAAGTGGATGCAACCGAGAAATAAAATGAAGGGAAGTGGTTGCCTGTCCCCATTCTTTCCCCCACAAGACACTTTCCGTCGTGGCACCCCTCACGTCCACCAATGACCGTGCGAGAGAAGCCGACCCACGGAGGGCGACCGATGAATTTATAGTGGGCGACGATTTGGGGAATTATGGAGGACCGGTGCATAGCTGATGTAGCTGTCACCGCAAGCAAAAGAGAAAGAGAGGAACCCACAAATTGATTTTGTATATGGATGGGATTGAAGGTGTCGGGGGAGCTTATATCTCTAATCCAATTGGTATAAAGGTAAGACGTGGCTTCTATCTCTCTAATTGTGGATGATCATTGCCATAATGTTCGTTTGGCATGTAGTGATTCACCCATGAAGGGAAGAACGAATTGGAAGGTCATGATATATTATTGTAAGGCGATTCTGCACTTCTATAATCGAGTAAACTGAACATGTTTATTCATAGGGAAAATGTGAAAGCATAAGAAGGAAATCGAGGTTTCAGAGTGCACAAGATTCACGATGACGATGCCCGACGTTGCAATAGCAGTTGGTTATGAAAATCGATATTGATTCAAGTCAATCCACTTGATCTAGAGGTGAGTGTTCAAGGGGGTAAATTCTACGCCTTACGTATTTTTCAAGTATTTGCTTTACGTGTTAGAAGTTGTTTTATGTGAAATTGTGTGCTTATTATGTTTATGGGTGATGATGTGTGTTCTTTTGATTCATATTTTGAAGGATATGTTTATGATCTTTGAGTACTTAATTAAAGCTTTTACGTTTCTTTGACAATTAAGTTAAAGTGTAAGAGTAAGAGAAAGTCATAAGTAAGAATAATTTAACCTCGCTTTGCTAGCCACTATCTAGACAGATCCCCTACCGGACGGTAATAACTTCCGCGGTAGTTGATCACTACCGGATGGTGATACGTTCCGCGGTAGTTGGTCAGGCTTGGAGCCGGATGGTGATACGTTCCGCGGTAGTCACGCCGTAGCTTGACACCGGATGGTGATTCGTTCCGCAGTGGTCAAACCCATTTGAGGGGCACCCCATTTTGAGGGTAGTCATGTTTAAGAAGTAAGAAAGTAAGTAAAGCTAGTAGTGGCGCCAGCTAAGTCGAGGTAGGGGCCCCCAATAAGATAAAGGATTAGATAGCACAGTTTTAAGAGTTAAAGTTTAAAGGCGGAAATACAAACAACCTCCATAAGTTTAAGTCAATGTTTTAAGCAAAGTGCTCACCCCAACTCACTCACCAGTTTATAGAAGAAGAGGAGGAGCATTTAGAGAGCAGCGGTTCGAGGGGAGCTAGCTGGAGGAGGATGGTACAAACATCACGGAGGATGTCTAGTCAAGGTTATCATTTTGCAGCAGCGTTTAAGATTAATTAGTTAATATACTTTATGATTATGAGTATAGACTGGAGATCATATTGAGATTTTAAGGTTTGAGTTTATTTGCCCACGTGTTAGGGCGTTGTTTTTAATTATAAAAAAGTAATTTCAGTATTTTGTTTATGAAAATTTTTCCCACTATAATTTAAGGTTCGAGTATTTTATTTTTTCAAGGTCATTTTAGTAAATGTAATACCCGTCGGGTTAGGGTGTTACAGAAACAATAGAGGTTGACTTTTTTGTTATGGATAGAGTGGGAGCTTGACTTTTTGGGATGTCGACTGAAAAGTCATTCAAAGACAACGATAGAATTTTAGGACCGCCACCTGCTCATCTCCCACAAATTAAGGGAATGCCGTTGAACTTCGACATTAAGCTAACATATAACATTATCGCTAATCCAATAAGTGAGTACCCAATTTTCAGAATAGGGAAGGATGAGGAAGAGGAGAACACAAACTATCTTCATGTTTTAATTGAGGTAAATCCTACTTGCATCATCAAAATAATGATCAATACTAATTACAAATTTGTGTTATTCTCTATTCTATTTAAATTTTTATACCATGCACAAGTCATACTTAGTTATATTTTTTAATCTAATTAATATATTGCAACTGTTGGATGAAGGGAGCCGAGCTTTTGATTATTAATTAACACAATGGATTGGCTGAATTAAATTAATAGCAATCAGACTCCGGTTAAAAGGTGGAGACCAGCCTTCTATTTCTTCCATTGTCTGCTTGGAACTATAGCGCCTTTGGTATTTTCAATCTTAATATTCGTTGTGGAACTTCGCTAGCTATCGTTCCCACTAACATGCAATCAATTGTATCCGACTACAATTTTACCTCCAATATATATTAACCACCTATGATTCGATGAAACCACATAATATGTTGTATTTTTGAATGTCAATAATCTAAATTCATAATGTTGATGGAGGAGAACAAGGAGGGCATTGCTAATGATGGAGGTACCAAATCTAGGATGATGTTGAGAAGAAAAAAGACATTGTTCAAATGTTCATGAGGAAGATATAAAGATTGTTTATGTGGAGATAGAACAAATTATGTATATTGTTCACAACTTGACGAGGTAAATTCTACTCGAATGAAAAAGATTATTTGTATTCATAAATATTTTATCATTAAATTTTATTGTTCAATAAAATGCATGACAAAGGAAGAGATTATTGAAATACAAGAGAAGAAGGAAGAGACAATCAATAATACACATAAATGTGTTACTACTGGAGATTGAAAACATTATTATTGATGGACATGATGATGTTGCTCAAGGCGGAGGAAATGCAAACAAGTCAAAAAGACAACAAGCAGTAATCTTTAATGATGAGGAGTAATTAGAAGGTGATTTAAATTTTCTGTAGGAGTCGGTCCCTTACAAGGGGTTTGTCTTTCATTTTTGTAAAACGATTTTAGTCGATGATACATTAAAATGTCGAAAAATAGTATGATGTTGCCCATTTTGAATTATTGAACTACTCTAATAATTTTGATTCCCTTGTTCTACCAATCGATTAGAATGTTTAGATTATTTGAATAATTTTTACTTTTTTACTAACAAAGAAATACATACCTCAGATACAAATTGTCATTGTTATTTACGTGATTGGCGACTGAATCCAACCAACCGGCCGGGTCTGTGACTAGTGAAATCTAAAGACGAATGTGAGCAAGCATCGAGAAAATGCCAGGTTTTGAGGTGCTTCTTTGAATAGTCATTTTATCAATCCGCGAAGTCAAAATTCAATCACGGCGAAGCACGGACTACGTAACTAGAAAACCCAAAACAGCAAGTACAAGATTTAATTTGACACCTAAGCAAGGTTGTCAAACCAGTTTGTGCCAGTGTGCCGGTTTAGCAAGTGGAATGGTTCGACCGGTGGTACATACCGGTTTGTGCCGGTTCATGCCGGTTAATATTACAAATAATTTACAAATACTCATATTTAAGCACGACATTTAACGTCAATACCTAAATATTTGTACTTGAATCCAACAAATAACATCAACATTTAACTTTTTAACACATAAAATAAATAATAAATTACTTTTTATCAAATAAATTGACTAATATAAGATCATTTTACTTAGCGATACGTATATCGATCATGCCGGTTACACACCGGTGGTGTCATACCGGTTTTATGACCGGTACAGGTTGAATCAGATTCAACCAGTGGTACGCCGGCCGGCGTGACAACCATGCACCTAAGCCATAAAATGTAGGATATTTATCCCCTATATCAAATTGTACAACGAACACCAACTTGTATTGTTGGACAACGAGGAATCGACAACCGTGGCTAGACTAGACACCGTGACACATACAACAAATGAAAAGCCGGATCATACCCAAAATCTAAACAAAACAACAAATCAAATGCTCTGCCACCCACTCGTGACATGACATGACATCCTCTTGATTCTTGAATAACTCTACTATAACTAGTTAACAAACAGTTAACGTGTGGCTTGGATTATCTCGAACAAAAACGCTCGCTCTTCCTCTTCGTGCAAGTTTCCATGCTTTGCTCTGAAACTCACATCCCCACGGCACGCCCACAGCGAAGCGCATTGCTAGGAATAGGGTACTCGTCTCTCCAAGAGTTCGCCGGAGAGTAGACGCGAAGGTAGAATTGCTGTCCCAAATACTGTCGAGCCCAATTCTGAGACCTCACATTCCACATCCCAACGTTGTCCAACGGCATGTAGATCGCTGTCCATGACTGTGGATACACCTGAACAGTGCAACGTGAGATGGTGTCCCTCAAGTTGTAGTTCAATCTGCTAGCAGCCGACCATTGCCCTCCATCCATCCTGCAAATCAGCCACCATAACCAAAACAGAACATCAAACAAATGAAACCCATTTTCACAAACCAATGATTTCCCAATCCGGCTACTCAATTGCTGATTTTCTTGTCTAAACGAAGGAAGCTTACCCAACAACAAAGAAGTTATGTCCATCAATGTGCCAAGACTGGACGCTATCCTCGGTGTTCTCGAACACAAACTCCGCGAACCCTCTAAAATCGGCAGCCATAACCGAGGTCTGGAGGTAACCGCCGCTGCCAGTAGGGTTATCTGGGATGCTCCCAAGGGAGAAAACTCCACCAATTTTGAAGTGATCAGCCAGCTTCAGTGGAGTGTCCGCTGGAACAAACGAGACACTATTCACAGCATACCTCTGCTTGCCATTGATCATTACAGGCGAATTCTGCAGCCTAACGGTTCTGGTCGTATTGATCATACCATAATGGTACGAGCCCTGTGGATTCGGCCTGGGGCCACTTGCTGTCAGATTCCTCCTGAGGGATCGGGCCTGCTCGAGCGACCAATCGATCTGAATCGTGGGGCCACCGGGGGGTGCACCAGAGACACTTGCAGCCGAGTTGCTGTAGTGAAGGATGGCGGTTGAGCTGAGGACTTGGGAGGTGAACCGCGAGGAGACTACAATGTAGTAGTCCTGAGGTGGCTGGTCGGCTGTTACCAGAACTGAGTAGGATTGTCCCAAATGGATGTCGAGGGAGTCGTATGTGTTTTGAAGGGTATGTGTCCCTTCCACTTCCACCAGCAACATCTTGTGGCCTTGAATTCTGAAGTTGAGGGCCGTGGTAAGCCCGACATTCGATATCCTGAACCTGTAGGTTTTTCCTGTCGGATCATTGGAAGAACTCGTGAGGATATATATAACTAAGAGGATCACTTCAGAGACACGCAAGGCAAGGTTAAGTTAGGGTACCTTGATCTACTGTGAAGGTATAGCCATTGGAGCCGCGGCCATTGATGAGAATGCCATCAGGGAAAGGGAGATCACTTCCACCATCCAGAGTTGCTTTCAGATCCTGAGAATAGACATTTAGCATTCAACAACATTCAAGTCAAGAGAATGAAAGCTATAGGAGGATCAATGATTAAAAAAAAAAAAAGCTCAGATATTTACCGTGTGGTTCATTTTGTACCAATCACCAGCAAGGAAGGTGAAATCACCAGCGGGAGGATCGAATGGGACGGGGATAACAGATCGGCTGGCGATTTTGATCCCACCATAGCCACCTGCAGCCTTGTGCATTGCAAGGGAAGGGAAGTAGAAGTAGCTGCCTATTTGATCCTTCACTTGCAGGACATAAGTGAAGTTGGTCCCTGGTGGGATGGGGCAATTGGTTCCATAAACCCCATCTTGCCATGAGTTCCTCTTCTGTTGCACTCCATTCCTGAAACACAGACATTACAGAATCTCTCATTCAGACCTCAAATCTTGCCAGCCAACCCTAACAAATAGCCATTTGCAAGTACTAGTTTGAACACAACCACTTCCAAAAGCAAGTTCTGGTTAAAGGGTCGGTTGTAACTTGTAAACATTCTGTTTATAGCATCCTTAATCCCCATTTGTTTTAAAGACAATTGCAAGGAAGGAGATCGGATGGCAAAGAACCACAGCCGTGCGATCTCATTTTTTTTTTTTTTTCCTCTCCAGGCAAATTGAATGGACAGGGAGAACTAAGAACTACCCTTTCGGCAGTATTAGCCAAATCCTTCCAAAAGGGATTCAATATTGGGCAGTAAGAACTTAGGAGGCAAAAAGGGGCATGGATCTATCACGAGATGGTCCCTAACTAGCAGGAGAGAAAAAAACCCCAAAATAAACGTGCTTAAAATGGGAGCCACGCTAAAAATTCCGACTTCAACCACCACTGCTAACTCTAGAGCAGCGGGAAATGCAAGATCAATCACTGAAAAAAAAAAAAAAACTTACCAGGAGAGGAGGAAAGGCTCGTCCAAGCTGTTGAAAACACTGATAATCAGATTGTCATTGGTCACGGCTTCCAGCGGCGGCCCTGGAAACTGGCCGTTTATCAGTATCCCCTGCCACCGCAAAAACAAAAACATTAACATTCATTGCAACAAACCAAAGAAAGAAACTTTGCTTTGTTTCTGCTTGTTTGCTCATCACCTGTTGCTTGACTCCCAGTGGGTAGATATCGCCATAAGTGACATTCCAGTTGTAGAATCTGTAAGGGTCTTCTCCATTGCTGCAACTGACGAGTAAGCACAACACCCCAACCACCCAATAACACCAACTCGCCATTGCTGTTTTCTATCTCTCTGTTTCGTGCCAAAGTTTCAAACTTTGCAGAGAATGAGAAGGTGGTTTCTGTGGAGAGAAAACCTTACAGAAGAAGGAAAGAACTTTCCTCACTGCTATACTAATCCAATGTGTCCGCCGACCTATCTACGTGTACTTATCCCACTGAATCTCGTCTCTTCTTTGTTTCTTTCTCCCTTTCTGCAAAGCTCTACCTCTCTCGGACCCTTTTGCTTTTCTATTCACTGCTTTATAACAGTAAAGTGTCGGCGAGATTGGATTCCTTGGGTGGAAGTGTGGGATTTAGATCTGATTTCAGGGTACTGATTGGAAAAGATAATTAATTTGGGAGGGAGACAAAGATGAAGGATTTGGTGGGACGTTGGTTCGAAGTAAGTAATGAAGGGAAGAAAAAACGGGAGCGGTGTGGAGTTACTGAAGCGGGAGAGTGAGAGAGAGACAGAGAGGTGTAAGGAGTGAAGGGAGACAGCTGCGAAACTCTGCAGAGTCTGATGTATAATGTATTGGTCCGCACCGCGTCTCATGGAGATGCGTGAAGGTTTGAATCTTTTCTTTGGGTTTACGTCAGCGTTTTAGCAAGTTCAAAAATGGTAAAACATACCCTTTGTTTATTGTAATTTAAGCTTAATTAATTTTTGCTAATGTCCCGCCATAAGCCTTGTTTGTTTCTTGTGGTGAATTACAGTGTTGGCCTGTTGGGCAGCTGGGTTTGGGGCGTATTGTCAAATTGGTCCCTGAACTTTAGTGTTTTAACAGTATAGTGACTGAACCCTAATTATGACACACGATCGCTTTGGACGTTGTCAAGATTTGAAGGTCAATCTTCAGGAGAGCTCATTGCAACGGCCCATCCTAGAATCGGGTTAGCTTGACTGGAATTGAGGTATGGTAGATTAAGTTCAGGACAGAGGAAGAAGAAGAAGAAGAACATAAAGACGTTGGAGAAGAAAGGAGAAAGGTAAGTGAAAGGGAAAAAGAAAGATAGGAGAGACGGAGTTTCTCAATTCTACCCACTTTTATTTCCTTTACAATTTCGTCCAATTTGTTACAAGTTTCCCTCCTTAATTGCATATTGTCCTCAAGTCTGGAACTTCTTCGAAGCCATTATATATGACTCTTAGGTGGCATGTGTTTCTTCTTGATGGGTCCAGTGAACTAAGATCTGAGCGGAAACTATATTATTTTGGGCAACTACTCGCCTGAACAAAATTGCCAGTGACTCAATCTTTAGATTTCCAGATCCATCACAGTCCAACAATGTTGGTTGAGTCTTTAATATAAGCTACATTAGCATGTTTGAGTAAGAAAATGTGTAACACAGGGTGAATGGCAAATTCCTTAAGCATCTGCAGTTTGTGTGCTACTTTGCCCACCTTCCCCAAGACAAGAAAATGACCATAGTACTTAGGAGCAAGTTTTGTATTCACAAGTTGAGTCACTGAGAGTTTCCTTTATGGCTTGAGCCTCAAATAAACTGCGGGGTCGTTTGGAAGTTGCAATTGTTAAATAGATGTATTGTTGAGAATGCATGTATAATATTATACATGTATTGTCGAATTTGATGCATTGTAGAATACAACGTTTGGTATGTGTGATTGTGTATATCGCATCAGCTAAAAGCTGAGACAACAATCTCAACTCAACTATCTCAACAATCACAACTAAAAGTTGAGATATAACAATCACTCAAAATGAGTGATAGTTTCTGTTACATCACATAAACAATCCATGTATTGTTTCTGCTAAAAAAACAAAAAAAAAACGATACATTGTAAACAATACATACATAATGACAATCTCAACAAAACTATCGCAACTTCCAAACGGCCCCTGAGTCTTCCACTTGAAATTCTCCTTTGATTCGGTGCCAATCAACTATTTGCTTTTGACTATTCTGTGTCATGGCCAAATTGTCTCTAATCATCACAGCCAAGTGTTGTTGCTGCTGTAACTTATTTTTCGTTGCTGCTACAGAGGTGGAGAGAGTATTTCTTAGCTCAAAGTGAGGAGGAGGATATCAATATAGAGTCTTCACTAGGAAGATTTGCAAGCTGTTGTGGTAGTTTGTGTTATACCATCATTCTAGAAGTGACAACTATGTACTCCAGGTCTGTGGTGAATGGTGAACCATACTCCTCAAGTAGTCCTTGATGCATCTATTCAGTCTTTCAGTTTGATCGACAGTTGAGGATGGCAAGCTCTCTTTGTTGCTGTTAGACTCTGTAGTAGACCATGATAAGAGACTTTCCCAGTCTTGCAATGCTGACATATACCACATTTAGCTACAAATTCTTTCGCTTGCAAATTCAATCCAGGCTACCAGAAATATATCCTACTAGAGAATTTGAAACAATTTCAATACATGTCTCATTTCTCCCATTGATCCCACATACAAGGCATTCTTATGGTATAACAACCATGTTTAACTTAGTTTACCCTAGGACCCATAAAAATGAATGTTATCTTCCACTATGAGAGCCTCCACTTCTAGATCGCATGCATAAGTTAGCTCTATCTAAGCCAGCCATGTTGGTAGCACAACAGTAATGGCATGGTATTCCACTGCACCTTAAAAACTAGGATGACGAGACAAGGCATCAACAACTCTATTGAACTTTCCTTGCATGTCGTGAATTTCAAAGTCTATTCTTAGTAACTTCACTAGTCCTTATTCGAGTTCTTGGCTTCGCTGCTCCTATCACATGTTTTTCTTCGAAGATTTTATCAAATTTAAATAGAATTTTTATCAAAAGAATTATATAGCTAGTTCATCATAAAGGAGAAAATAACTAATGACATCCTTAATAGTGTAAGCATGGTACAATTTATTTATATTATGTGCATTACGAGACCGTACGACCTTTATGTTGGGAATAATAATAACCAATCCACATACTTTTTTTTTTCCAAGGAAGAATGCAATGAGAAAGAAGTCCATAATACATAATCTACCAACACATTTTGATCTTTTTGGAGGCTTATTTCACAAGTCTAAGTTTATTTAGACCATAGGGTGGCCGAATACATTCTCCGAGCATATGCTGATTACTGAGAGTACGCGACAAGATATGGCATAAGAAGAGATTGAAAAGAAGACGAGAGTTGAAATCAGTATTTGCTGGACTAGTTTAACAGAACTCCTAAAGTTCGCCGATAGTAATGTAATTTACCACCATAATTCTAAATTCCAACGGGTTAAAAATAAACTACTTCTGCGGATTGCATGCGTACGGAGTGTGTGCTTTGAATCCACGTCATGTTACTCTAATGATTAATCCACTTGATTAATTATTGGTTATAAAAGTTAAAACACTACAGAACAATCCATTAACGACGAACTCTATATCTGCAACTAAAATCCCTTCTTTTGTTCTTAACCCACGTCCAAGTACAGCAACAGCTCATGCTTTTGATGAGCCCAAACTTGATCCAAGTTAAGAAATACATTATAAAAACACCGGTTGGAGTACTAGTTTTCCAAATCACTGCCTTCTCCACTTACTTACCGAAAATAATGGATGATTTGGAATTGGTTTTTGTGAAATATGTTATTTAATACTACATGTGACAAATACATATTTATTACGTGGTATTTATACGAAATATCGCGTTTGGATAAATTATATTAAGTGGTATTGTTAATATGGTATTTGCATTCAGAGTTGTTATTTTATCAATTTGTCCTTTTTAATCTTATTTTTTTCTCGTTTGGTCAGCATATGCAAGCAAAGGCATAATCAGGATTTTGTCAAGGATGGATCCATTTAGAAAAAAACAGATACGCTAAAATAGTTTTGTTAGCTTTTTAAATCATTCAAAATATGATTTTATATTTACAAAAAAAATTAAATTAAATATATGTCAAAACTATCAAGAATATATGAAACAATTATCATGATTAGTTAGACATGTACTTTTGAATGGTGTTTTTTTTCAATAACATTTAGTATCAATAACTCACTTTGTTGGGAAATATTTAATAATGGATCTTATACTATTTAGTGTTTACTAACAGTTTCCCTCTAACGAAAAGAAACTTACACGTGCTAAAGATTTTCACAAATCCGAATATCATGTGCTTAACAAATGGGGGTCGCCAAGATTCAAACACATGATCTCTCGGTCAATTATTCTCAATCAGAAGTGCCCTAAATTTCATTGTCAGTTAACTATTATACTAATTTACTCATTTTCGTCCTTAGGATCCACCAGTTACACTCCTCTACCCCTGATTGAAATAAAACTGTTTTTTCAAATTAACTATGATTTTATGGAAATTTGTTGTAGATATTGAATAAGTACAACTATAATTTTGGACGGATCATATGCACCATTATCATTTGTACATAGATCGTTCTAAAAACATTGAACATGTCAATACATAACGTAGAAATGATACATAAAATATTTGAAAGCCCAACCATTCTCATTTAAATATGTGTTATTTTTCATACCCGGTTAAATATTATACATAATTTACCATTTTCCTTCCAGGATCCACCCTCTTAGGGGTGGGCATCCGGTTCGGTAAACCCGAACCAAACCAGACCCAAACTAAACCGAACCGAAACCAAAATAATGCTATTCGATTAGAAATTCGGAAGAAAAAAATATTTCGGAAACTAGGATTCTTTCAACCGAACGGAAATTTCGAAATTCCGATCGAATAACTATAATTGTAAGCTCCAAAAGGTGGATGTTTTATGTTTGCACTTGTTTTGAGACTTACGTATTTGAATCATGTTATGATTTTATAACTTGTTAAAATTCGAAGAACAACCAGGTCGACTGAATATCAACAATAATCCGCTACCAAATCATGGGGGCATGGAGCGAATGCTATCGAGAATTGTGAGGAACATGTAGACTGAAAAAAGGTGTCAGAAATAAAGACACCTCTGAAATGCATCTATAAAATCCTCTCCCATAATGGTTATCTAGAGGTTCCTAAAGGAGACATCACTGTCACAAGTCCAGAGGGTATGTGTCCTTATCACATAGAGTCCGACGGACACTCTATCCAACATTGCGATCAATTCGAGGCCAAGTTGCAACAGCTCATGGATGCCAAAATAATCTCAATCCATACCATTAGCAGGGATAGAAGCGAAATTGACATGATATCATCACAAGAGGAGGGTTCAAAAATGCCCAAGAAAGTTGTTTGCTACCAGGTTGAACCATAGATCCAGAGTTCGCCAATCGCGAGCGTTGCCCCGTTAATCATAAAAACCCCAAGGCCTTTCAAATATGAGGATCCAAAAGCAGCTTGGGTTTACACTTGTCAATTGAACCAAGAGGTCACGACTCCGCCATACGAAGCAGCAAAGATAACCGGGATAGGAGGAATAACAAGGTCAGGAATACATTATGTCCCAGAAAGGCACGGAGAGGCGCAGAATCGATGAGTTAGCCAAAAAGGCGGGAAATTAAGCACGGAAAACAAAAAATCACAGAGTCCA